AGTTGCCACATACAGAAGCATGATAATTTTTCTCTGACGAGGCAATGTCCGCACACCCGTGCATAGTTGCTCTCTTAAATTTCTGTAGAGAAGCATTTTATTGGCCTGACTTCAAGATGATCTCTGGAGAATAAGTGGCGGCCATAGTGAGACCGGGCCACTGCTGAAAATTAACTTAATTTTGGGATCCAGTAAGCTAAAAGCAATAGGGAAACTTTAACAATATAAATACCAATATGTATTTATGAAATCTAAATATTAAAAGTAACAAAAAACACTTAAATCTAACAAGCCACCAAACATACAATTGCTTAGTAATACACGTAAAATGACAGGTTAAATTTGATGCCCAACTCTTATTATATTGTACAGTACGAAAAGTATAGCATGTGGTATGTACAAAGATCTGTGTTGTAGAAAGACATTATCAAATTCTTGACGTCACCTTCAGTTTATAGTTGTTGTTTTTTTTTTTTTTTTATTAATTTGGCATATTCATGAGAATATAAAGAAAACCATTTACATATTTACTCCAACCAAGTACTTTCTTAACTGGTGTTACCAGCTGAATTACTGACAGGGTTAGTCACAAAACAGAGAATTGCAAATTAGAAATTGACTAGGGAATTGCAAATATTAGTACAAAATATCTCCTCTAGACACCTTGCTGAGTTGGAGAATTCTTCCACTTTGGCTATTTTTGACTAAATATTGGAATTCCCTGGTGAGTTCTGTGTAATTAAAGGGACACTATAGTCACCAAAACAACTTTAGCTTAATGAAGCACTTTTGGTTTATAGATCATGCCCCTGCAGTCTTACTGCTCAATTCTATGCCATTTAGGAGATACATTTTTTATTCAGCCCTAGTCGCACCTCCCTGCATGTGACTTTCATAGCCTCCCTAAACACTTCCTGTAAAGAGTAATCTAATGTTTACACTTCCTTTATTGCAAATAATGTTTAATTTAGAATTTATCTCCTGCTATGTTAAAAATAGCATGCTAGACCCTGCAGGAGCCTCCTTTATGTAATTAAAGTTTAATTTACAGAATCGGAAAATCAAATATTTAATTTTACATCAGACTGAAAATGAAACCATTTTGTTTTCACGCAGGCAGTGTCAGTCACAGCGAGGGAAGGTGTGGCTTGTGCTGAGAAACAAGTGAATTATCTCCTAAATGGTAGCGAATTGAGCAGTGAAACTTCAGAGCATGATGTATATACACAAAACTGCTTCATAAAGCTAAAGTTGTTTTGGTGACTATAGTGCTCTTTAATTATTCTGTGTGTAAACTTGAGCACCTCTCAATTTAATAATAATAATGGAAATAAGTAACTTGACTAGATGTAAAGCTTGCACTCTTTTTGCTGACTGGTGGTTGTGTTTTACTTTCAACAGGTTTACTACATCAACTTCACAGACTTTGCTAGCTATGAGGTGGTAGTGGATGAAAAGCCATTTCTGCAGTGCACACGAAGCATAGAACCTGGTAAGACCAACTTCAATACCTGCTACACTGCAGGGGTTTGCCTATTAAAAGCGAAGCAGAAGATTGCAGTCAAGATGGTCCACGCAGACATCTCTATCAACATGAGCAAACATGCAACATTTTTTGGGGCCATTCGTTTAGGGGAAGCACCTGGTTCATAAGCATAATGGAAAAACTGTAGAGTCTACTTGATTAACCACACAATGTTGCTTCAGACAGAATGTTGCTGCAAACACAAGTTTGATAAATGCAACAAAGAAGCAAGTCCACTTCTTTGTCTCCTCACAGTGATACAGGAAAGAGAATGGAACTACATGCAACTCCTGTCATGATAAATTAGATGTAAAGCTACAGAGAGAAGAAGACATGACGAATGTGATTGGTTATTTTTGTTGTGGTCGAGCTGCACTGTAATGGCCAAACCTTTACTAGAGGCAGGTCATTTCTATATGTGTGGACATAGAACTTGTTTGCCAGTATTTTCAAAGGCATTTTAGGATTTTCTTGCACTTGCTGGCTGCTGCCGATGGCGAACAAAATCAAAGCTGGTGAAAATAATGATGAAAAATGAAATACAAAAAAAAAAAAAAAAAAAGCTCTGTTGTTTTGTCTGTAGACTTAATATCTGCACCACAAATTGTGACACACACACACACACCCTCCCTATTGCAGTTTTCTACAATTCTAAAAGGGCCTATATTAGGATGTCCTTGGCACATATATACCAGAATGTATGTTTATGCTACATGTAAGGGACAAAAAGCCATTTCCAAAAATACTTAAAACACTCTATTGTAGTGCTTTGGGATGTTCATATTCCAAAAAAGCGATATATTCAATTTAAAGAATGAGAAGGTTTGCTGTTGTACTTTTTAGCAACCCACTTTGGAGTTCTCGCAAATTTAAATTGTTGCATATGAAACCTCAGTTTTATAGTACAGCTGTCTATATATTTTTTTTTACTTTTTAAATTGGATTCTACCGTCTATTGGGTTCTTTTTATTGGTAAGAAAATTCAGAGCATCGAGACAATAGAAATTTTATTACAATTGCTGATAAAACAGAAATCTGTTTGAATGACAGTCTTCAGTTCTAAAGCTGTCCCTTTGGAGATGGAACAGTGTAACATTGAAATTGATAAAATGTAAAAAAAAAAAAAAATGCTGAAGTCCATGCCCCCATTATTAATTTCAGAACTGGGTTATCTCATCTGAATTATTATTTAACATGGGAAGTTCCACCTAAATATATAATATTTTAATATGAGAGACTATTCCAGGTATCTGGTAAGTTTGATGCATAGTAAAGCTTCAAAACTAACTTATCTGGGCTTAAAATCCATTCTCTGAATTATACAATCGCTGCTAATATCCAAGTGGAGGTGAGAGGCTCTGACTAGACATAGTATGCTGGCTCAATCCTACAAACTCTTGCTCTAAATCTGTATTAAAAGGTAATGTAAAAATACATCTGTTCAAACCATGAAGCGTTGTGTAAAAATGTAGATATAGCAGTATATACTTTTTTGATCATTTTCCTAAATGGCAAGTCACATGTAAAATATAAACATAAAACTATATATTGTAGTATGTCTGTATGATATAATTGTGCTTTTTAGCTGGTTTAGATTATACAATCTTAACATTTTCAGAACCCTTATGCCTAATCCTTGAAATAGAGGTGGCTGCCTTTCTTCTTTTCCAGAGCTGTTTTACTATTCACCCGTACATAAAGAATAAAAATTTAAAAAAATTATATTGTCTAATAAGTAGGGATTATAAGTTCAAATAGTTTGAAGCTCACATTTTTTAGAGCCCTTTTCTGGCTTTGATGTTTAGTTTGTCAAGTGTTTTTTTCTTTTTTGCTGTTACACTATCTCTTTAATGTCCTATAAACAAGGATCCTTCGATCTTTGGTCCTCAGGAAATGCAAAGAAGAGCCAATATGTTATAATGTTGTTATAGTGTACATAATGCAATAATAATAAGCTAATTACGCCTACAACTACCAAAGCCTTATAGCCAGACCACGGATCTAATTGGGCTAATACAACTTATGGGGTTACCAGCCTTTCTAGGCACATGTCCTACCCCAATGGTACAATAAACCACTTTATTGCTATAAAACTATTAAAAGGCTCTCAGCCTGTGTTCTCAATCCAATGCTTCAGCACTGAAGCAACGTACCAAGGAGAAGACACAGGGACCTGAAGGACGGGCACCATCTGGAGCACTTTGTTGTTTAACTGATCATAAACTGTTTAACTCCTTAAGGTAAGACAACATCTAGAAGATCCAGGCAACATAACATATTCATTGAACTTAAGCTTTGTTACCTGGAGTGTTCCTTTTAAATAGACATGTGTACAAATCAGTATATATCAGCATATAATAAACATCTATATAGTTTAAAATCTAACGTGCTGTTTGGTACTCGTAGACATGTTTAACTTATTTTATCTGGATCACTTTAGATTAAAGAAACACTCCAAAATCCATATCAACTAGAGTTTACTTTAATGGTTATGGTCTTAGGTGTTCCCTGGTGTTTTGCTGCAGTAAGTAGTCAAACTATTTTAGTACAGTTTGAAAACCTATGGATCTTCTTCTGCAGGAAAATCTAGTCCACTGTACAGTGCAGGACCACAATCAATAGTTTGGCACTCGTAGCACTATAACCACTTTTAAGGACTGTAAGTGTTATGCTTGTAGTGTTCCTTTAAATCCTGGAGAGAAAACATACACAAGTGTCATGTTGTCCTCTATGTATCTTATTTAGATCAATTTTGTGTCATTTTTGAATGTCCCCCTATCTGCTAAAACCTGAAAAATGACTGTAATTGTATATATGCTTGGTTGTCTCTGAGCACCGATGGAGAACTAGTAATGTCATGTTAATGCTTTGAGCTTTTCTACACACTTGTCTTTGTATCAGTGTTTCTAAGACCTTTTGACCATATTCATGCTTTGTCTGTGTACTTTGTGTTTTTGTACTTTTACTTCTTAATCTGAACATGAGTTTGTTTTTATTTGTTTTGTGTTTTTTATTCTTCCCTTGTGTAATAAGTTAGTTAACAGCAGAATCAGAATTTGAAGTTCCGGTTTCTTCCAGCAGAACTACAACAATCCAGAATATTTAACTGGTCCTACTAATTTGATACATAAAAGTATTAACTAATCCATGCAAAATACTAGTTCAACAAAGTGAATATGTTGCATTTAAAAATAAATAAAATAAAACAAATGTTTTCTTTATGAAATACTCATTTTACCCCCTTCTACACCCCCTCCCTCCCACCCCCCCCCCCACACAAACAAAATGAGTGTTTCATAAAATATTTATTAATTACTCCTATTGATTGTGTTGAAAATTCACTGAAATTCCAACCCAGTCAAGATATACTGAGACAAAGTAGGGACTATTTTGTCTCAGTATTTCTCATACACTTGCCAATGGGCAGAGCAACCACAGTAACGCAGTGTCATTTCCACCAGCCATCAGCTGCAGGGTAATAAGAGCTATCTATGGAGGATCCTGGAGGATCTTCCATAGACCTCAATACTGTACTCATGTATGTGCACAAGTACAGGAGTGGCATTTGCTCCTGGCAGCTGTAGCACCAGGAGCAGAAGAGGATGGCTGCGCCCATGAGGGACAGGTTTACATAAGTAAAACTCACCTTTGCCTGCTCCCACCCAATCTCCAGTGCTGATTGGGGGGTCTTTACAAAGTCATTATCAGATGGTGACAATTTCACTTGAAGCATCTGTTAATAAGGATGTGCCAAGTTACAGCTGAAAACCACAAAACATTTTGCTGCCAGTGATAGGTTGAGAGCATCAACTGAGCACTCTGAACCTATCAAAACCACCCCATTGCTGGCATGAATTGTACATTGGTGGTTTGAATCTAGACAGGCAGGGATCCTGATTTAGTGTTAATGCATTTGATAAGCAGCTTAAAGAAGAACGGAGGGATGGTGCCAGGGGATTTCAGTTACTATAATCCTATGAAATAATGTGTTTATAGTGCCTAGAAATTATCTTTAAAAAAGCTTATCTGGAATCCATGAGATCACAAGCATATCTTAACTGTGTTTTGTCATCCAATGTATGAAAATGGTTTCTACAGCTTCAGAAAAAAATAGAGTAGGACTTTAAAACAATTTCTCATATTGTAATATGGAAATGCTCTGTAAGTATACAAAATATATCACACCCAGCAAAAGGCTGCTAATATTTGTTATAGTGTTATATATGTGTTTGGTACATGCCAATTCCAAATAAATGTATGTACATTGACAGAAGATAAAGCATTTAGATGGTGGGATGGAAGATTTGCACCTTGATATACTTCACAGTGTAAAGGTTATTCTACACACTCACTCCCCAAAATACATACATAGTCCTAGACTTAAACAAACCTCTCATATTGACACTGCTAGATACTGTTGTTGATAGTGGAGACAAGCTCACGCTGAGACATTGAAGATCACAGCTAAATATAGGTGCAAGAAAAAGTATGTGAACCCTCTGGAATGATATGGATTTCTGCACAAATTGGTCATAAAATGTGATCTGATCATCATCTAAGTCACAATAGACAATCACAGTCTGCTTAAACTAATAACACACAAAGAATGAAATGTTGACATGTTTTTATTGAACACCATGTAAACATTAACCGTGCAGGTGGAAAAAGTATGTGAACCATTGGACTTAATCACTGGTTGAACCTCCTTTGGCAGCAATAACTTCAACCAAACGTTTCCTGTAGTTGCAGATCAGACGTGCACAATGGTCAGGAGTAATTCTTGACCATTCCTCTTTACAGAACTGTTTCAGTTCAGCAATATTCTTGGGATGTCTGGTGTGAATCGCTTTCTTGAGGTCATGCCACAGCATCTCAAGCGGGTTGAGGTCTGGACTCTGACTGGGACACTCCAGAAGGCGTATTTACTTCTGTTTAAGCAATTCTGTTGTTGATTTACTTCTATGCTTTGGGTCATTGTCCTGTTGCAACACCCATCTTCTGTTGAGCTTCAGCTGGTAGACAGATGGCTTTAAGTTCTCCTGCAAAATGTCTTGATAAACTTGGGAATTTATTTTTCCTTCGATGATAGCAATCCGTCTAGGCCCTGACGCAGCAAAGCAGCCCCAAACCATGATGCCCCCACCACCATACTTCACAGTTGGGATGAGGTTTTGATGTTGGTGTGCTGTGCCTTTTTTTCGCCACACATAGTGTTGTGTGTTTCTTCCAAACAACTCAACTTTGGTTTCATCTGTCCACAGAATATTTTGCCAGTACTGCTGTGGAACATACAGGTGCTCTTGTGCAAACTGTAAACGTGCAGCAATGTTTTGTTTGGACAGCAGTGGCTTCCTCTGTGGTATCCTCCCATGAAATCCATTCTTGTTTAGTGTTTTACGTATTGTAGATTCGCTAACAGGGATGTTAGCATTTGCCAGTGACTTTTGTAAGTCTTTAGCTGACACTCTAGGATTCTTCTTCACCTCACTGAGCAGTCTGCGCTGTGCTCTTGCAGTCATCTTTACAGGATGGTCACTCCTAAGGACAGTAGCAGCAGTGCTGAACTTTCTCCATTTATAGACAATTTGTCTTACCATGGATTGATTAACAGCAAGGCATTTGGAGATACTTTTATAACCCTTTGCAGCTTTATGCAAGTCAATAATTCTTAATCGTAGGTCTTCTGAGAGCTCTTTTGTGCGAGGCATCATTCACATCAGGCAATGCTTCTTGTGAAAAGCAAACCCAGAACTGGTGTGTTGTTTTTATAGGGCAGGGCAGCTGTAACCAACACCTCCAATCTCATCTCATTGATTGGACTCCAGTTGGCTGACATCTCACTCCAATTAGCTCTTGGAGATGTCATTAGTCTATGGGGTTCACATACTTTTCCACCTGCACTGTGAATGTTTACATGGTGTGTTCAATAAAAATATGGCAACATTTCATTCTTTGTGTGTTATTAGTTTAAGCAGACTGTGATTGTTGTGACTTAGCTGATGCTCAGATCACATTTTATGACTAATTTGTGCAGAAATCCATATCATTCCAAAGGGTTCACATACTTTTTCTTGCAACTTGTAGTACAGGATATTGATTAATAGACTAATATGCAGGGCAGAATATTGCTACTATGATTACAGAATGAAGAATTTAGCTGCATGGCATATTCAGTTTTGAAGCAAGGTGATGCACTTCAGCACAGACAGAGCATTACTTAGTTTCATCACAAAGTAATGCATTTTACAGAAAGGTTCTTGTCTAACTTCAACCCAAAATCTGAATTCCTACATAGCCCAGAATGGGTAAATACAATTAAATATTCAATTAAAGGGGTTTGGATTTATGCTCTCATTTTATTTCAATATTATTCAATAAATACAGCTGTGAAAACCCCTTGATGACTTTTCATGGGTGATAGTGGTTTTACTTTTCACCAGTAGATGGGTGTTGTTTAACTTCCCTGTTGCAACCATAACAATCTGGTCACCAATACAACTTTTTATGCATTCCATTTTTATGCATGTTGGCCTCATTGATATGCTGTATTGTTTTTGCATGTTCAAATCCTTACTAGTTTTTGCTCAAAACACTTGTTTTGTTGCATGCTGCACCTGAAGACACTCCCCCTATCCACGCCTCCTTGTGCTGTAAAGAATTCCTTATCAGGGTATGCACACACTATGGTGCCTAACAGCACTGAGTGAGCTGCTTTTAATTCTTGTCTGGCTGCAGTCAGAAAAACAAACAGGTAGTAATATCCACGCTACATCTCCATGGGCGTCCTCTTCTCATGCAAACTACTTGTAGATCACTCAATTATGTCTGTCTAAACTGTGTGCATACACTGATCAGCCACAACATTAAAACCACTGACAGATGAAGTGAATAACATTAATTATATACTTGCAAAGACCCCTGTAAAGGGGTATGATTTATTAGTCATTAAGTGAACAGTCTGTTCTTGAATTTCATGTGTTGGAAGCAGGAAAAATGGGTAAGCGAAAAGCTCTGACTTTGACATGGGTCATATAATGATGGTTAGTGCATCTCTTATGGGGTGTTTTCAGTATACAGTGATTAGCACCTACCAAAAGTGGTGCAAGGAAGGGCAACCGGTGAACTGGCATCAGGGTCATGGGCGCCCAAGGTTCATTTATGCTTGTGGGAGAGGGAAGGCTAGCTCACCTGATCACACAAAATAACTACTTAAGCTAAAATTGCTGAAAAATTTAATGCTGGCCATGAAAAGGTGTCAGAACACACAGTGAAGAGTAGTTTGCTGCGTAGCTGCAGGTTGGTCATGATACCCTGTCCACTGCCCTCAAGGGGGATGTGAGCATCAGAACTGGACCAATGAACAATGGATGAAGGTTACCTGGTCTGGCAAATCAAGCTTTCTTTTGAATAAATTGGATTGCAGGAGCATGTTTGATCTACCTGGGGAAGAGCAGGATGCCCTATGGGAAGAAGGCAGTGTTATGCTCTGAGAAATGTTCTGCTGGGAAACCTTGGGTTCTGGCATTCGTGTGGCTGTTACTATGCTACATACCAACTACCTAGAGACTGTTGCAGACCACGTACACCCCTTCATGGCAATGGTGTTCCCTGATGGCAGTGACCTCTTTCAGCAGGATAATGCACCCTGCCACACTGCAAAAAATATTCAGGAATGGTTTGAGGCACGTGATGAAGAGCACAAGGCATTACCTTGTCCTTCAAATTCTCCAAATCTCATTCAGATTGCGCATATGTGGGTAGGGCTGGGACAACAAATCCAATCCATGGAGGCCCCACCTCGCACTTTGCAGGACTTAGTATCTGCTGCTAATGTCTTGTTGCCAGATACTACAGGACACATTCAGAGGTCTTATAGAGTCCATGCTGACTTGGCAGCACGTGGCGGATCTACACAATATTGGGCAGGTGGTTTTAATGTTGTGGCTGATCAGTGTACATTTGCTAAGGAAGTCTGTTTCTGAACGGAGGATACATGGCTAAGTAGGCAGGCATTGGTGCAGCATTGTGTAAAACTGTTGAAGATGCAGTTATTTGACATTGTAGAAAATAACTCTGACATTCACATTAAGAGACTTCAAATTATTTTACTTTACATTTTACCACTAAATTATAACCTTCTGGTTAATGTGCTGTAAGCATGGACCCCAAGAGGGACATTGCCAGTGATGCAACTTCATTGGCAGTGTCCAAAATGACAGGTCCACCCACTGAAGGGGCATGTCAACCAAACATCAAGCACACCAGGCTGACTTACAGTCTCTCTGGCCAGCCCTAAACACAGAAGACCACACCGCGATGGCTGCTCTGCATGGCTTCAGTGCCTGCTGCTTAGAGCGATTTAATCTAATGATACTCACGTTGTGCTGCGTGGGACACTTCTCTTGTGTCTCCAGATGCAAGACACCAGGGAAAAAAATTGGGACATCTGGACAGGACCTTAAAATACTTACTGTCCTGCTGAAAGTGGGAAATTGGGAGGTCTGCTTTTGGTTTTCTCCATAGAGCCATTAATATTAATATTTCTATTGACTGTGCCATGTCACACCCCCTACTCACCATCTGACCTAAGTTCAGCGTACAAGAAACTAACTAAAAGGACGGAAGTAGGAAATGCAGCAAAGGTTTTAATTTCACATGAACAAAATTTTATTTTATAACTACCTAAATTGGTTTTATTTATACTTATTTTGTCAAATAAAGTTTATTTTTAAACCTCCTCTGGAATTACCCTTAATCTTTTCTGCTAGAACCTAAAAACATTTTTCCTTGGCGGGGAGCATTAACAGGTCTTTTAATTCCAGAGGGTCATTGGAGTGAGGCTTGGCTGACGGGTGGATTAGAAAAAACTCCTGAAATTTAGAGCATGATAGCGCATCAGCTGCTTTATTGCAGATACCAGGTACGTAAATACATTCAAGGTAAAACCAGATACTGTTAACCAAGTTAGTTTTCTGACAAGTGTCATGATTGAGACCTGCCCTTCTTTATTATATGAGCTGCAGACTAGCTGTCAGTGAGGCATCTAACCGCGTGTGCCTTCCATTTATGACCCCCAGAGAAGGGCCACCACCACAAGAAGGAATATTTAGAACAGAGCAGAGAAATTTAGAAAATTCGCCAATTGAGACACCTCAGCTGGCCAGCGCGACTGAACCCATTTATTGCTGCGTAACCCACCAAAGCAGCTGAATCAGTCTAAATTACTGGCGATCTGTTTGAAATAGGTGGAATTAGTAATGATTTTCCGTTCCAAGATGACAAAAATATTTCCCACGTCTAAGTCTGCCCTGGCGTGTGTCTCAAGAAAGATTCAAGTATCATCGTCAAGGAGACCATGCAAAAGATAGAGTAGCCGTGATATAAAGCAACGTCCCTGGGCAATTACTCTCATCGCAAAGTTAAGTGAACCAATCAACGACTGGATTTCCTTCCTTGTACAGTAACCCTGCGCAAGACAAACATTCACATACTCCACAATCCTGTTCACCTTTTCCAACGGTAAACTGGCCATCAAAGTCTCGGAATTGAGCTGAACCGCCAAGAATGTTATGACATGACTAGGGCTCTCAGTTTTCTCGAATGCTACAAGCTATCAAATAGCTGGAGTGACTGATGTAAACCAGTGGGAGTAACATCCTGCTTTTCCAAAATAAGGAAGTCATCCAAGTAATGAATTACCATCAGACAGGAATTAAGTAAGAGCCAGCACAAAGTTTTCACGAAAATGTCGAAAAGCTTTGTGCTGCTCTTGGAACCAAAGGTAAGCTTGTCTTTCAAGTCCTTTTGTGGTGGTTTGTAGTTGCATGGTGCAACTGTCTGGTTAGTGGATGGCAAGCTAACATCCATCGGGCATAGACTGGGGGCATGCAAAGCCGAAGCGCAATTTGCGCAACCTGGGACCTTGAGGCCTGGGAAGTGCCTGCAAAATAATTTGGTATCTAATTGGCTCCAATCCATGTGAACAATAAATTGTGCCAGGTCAGCCGCGGCCTTAGCGGAAAATGACTTATGATAGCCGAAGTATGTGAACCCGCCGTACTTATGCCCAAGATCCACCAGTTGGTGCAAATATAAATCTAGCTCTTGCCTACGATGTGGGTGAACAGTGCAAACTACATCTCTGAATAGGCCAAAAGCCGACACAGACTCCGGTATGCGTCATTTATTGTTCAGCCTAGGATATCTAGCTTTTATTACTACTGAAAGATCACCAAACGAATAAGACTTATTGTCGATAACATCTTGGGAAGCTATAAGCAGAGAGAGATCAAATTAACGTCCTTACCTTCCAAAATATCTTTCCTTAAAGGGACTCTCCAGTGCCAGGGAAACAAACCATTTTCCTGGCACTGCAGGTCTCCTCTCCCTCCCACCCCCCCCATCCCAAGTTGCTGAAGCTTTCCTATGGGGATTTCAGCGATGCTGGAGGTCCTCACATAGCGTGAGGATGTCCAGCGATGCTATAGCACACTTTTCGTGTGCTGTAAACACTGAATTGCCCTCTAGTGGCATAGGAGTTAACCCTGCAAGGTAAATATTGCAATTTATGAAAACTGCAATAATTACACTTGCAGGGTTAAGGGTAGTGGGAGTTGGCACCCAGACCACTCCAATGGGCAGAAGTGGTCTGGGTGCCTGGAGTTAGGAGGTACAAAGTGGGCTGGAGTGACATTGTGGTAAGGATGATTAGAAACAGTAATGGAAGTAGGTTGGCTCTGTTCAGTAGGGGCGCTAGGAATACTGGCAGTAATACTGGAACCACTGGTCAAGTTGTAATTCTCCAGAGATTCTAAACAGTTATTGATCGTATTAATGGATGCCGTAAGAGATGACATCATACTATGGAGTTCGGACAGGCTAGTCTGAATAGTGTCCCCCCCACTAGAACCAGGTCTGTCATTGTCGTTTTGGGCTTTCATTAAACTGAATAAGTCGGCTTTCCTAGCAGTGGCAGGGAAAGGCACATTTTTCCGTTTTAATTCAGCCGTCGTTTTTGAAATAATCCAAGATTTGTAACTTGAAGCTGAACTTGGAGGATCGTTAGGTCTGCCCTGGAGAATTTGTCCTGGCAGGAGTGCTTGGAAGGGATAACTTGTCACCCTGTTTCGAAACGTTAGGAGGAAAGGAAATGGAAATGAGTAACTACCAACCAATAACTAGGAACTGGCAGCCTAGTAAGAATGCCAAGTGGTGAAATTATATTAAACTAATTGGGGTAAATGAGGCCCTGCTAGTTTGCCCAGTGGCTTGAGAGGCTCTACTTATGATTTGGCCCGAATGGCGGGAAAAATAAAGGGGGGTGGGCCCTCTCGATGGCATCTATGAGATTCAAGATAGAATGAACCGGACAGGCGTGAGACCTAACTATGCAACATGCGAGGCAAATAACTGTGAAATGGGCTGATAACTGATGTTTCTGAAAATGAAGGAATGCAAAGGCCCTGCGGGACCACTAAGAAATAATGAGGAAGAAAATACTGAAATACCCAATCAAAATTTGAAATAGTTTAGAAATTATATATATAGACCAAGAAAAGACC